GGAGAGAGAGAGATGGAGAGAGCAACATGAATAGCAAAACAGTCAAACCTAACGGGGTTAAAATGCAGATGAGGTGTGGAGGATAAAATCTGAAGGAAGACAATGTTCACTTTTAAGGTGATTGCAGTTGTGTTGCTCTTAGTGTCCATCAGAACTGCCCAAAGAAACATATGAGCAAAAATAACGTGCAAGGATGAAGAGGAAAACAAGCGGAGGAAGATATAGAAAAGGAGAGAAGGAGAAAAGGGAGGTAGAGTGGGCAGACAAGAGAGTAATGGGGTTCCTTGTTCCTCTCTCGCTCTCTACCAGCCTAATGAGGGTGCTAATTAAAGTGAAAAGAATAATGGGGGATGTGCTAAAAATTCATTTCTGCCATTTTGTTTTAGCATGTGTCTATATCTGTATGTCAGCTGTTAATTTATGTGTCTTTCATCCTGTTTTTGCACTTGACCGTATTTACTTTTCTGAAACATCAAATAGATAGACACCCTCTCCCCTATGCTTTGTCTTTTTGCCATCTACTTTTCTTACCGTCTTCCAGCGTAGTCGCATTGATCTCAGTACTGGATGGGCCTGTCCCTGCTCTGTTGAAGGCCTGGACCACAACCCCGTACTGGGCAAACTTCTTAAGGTTGTCCAAGGTGTACACTTCACTGTCCCCTGTAGCTTTCATCTCCACGATGCTGTACTGTCCGTTGCTGCCTGGACCGTTCTCTCTGTAACCGATCTGGTAACCTCGGATCACCCCGTTCTGCAGCTCCTTTTTTGGGGCCTGAAAGAGATGTGGTGATAGCAGTTCATGCAACAGTGCATATCAACCTTAAACCATGTCAATGTGCATTGAAGTCACTGTGTAACTGTTCAGGTATTTGGCAGAAATATATACAGACAGTGATATGTTTTGAGGGTGTTTTAGGTCCAGACAACATTTTGGCTAATCTCTATTAACAGATATATGCATATGAATGCATTTAAATTAAATTGCATTTCATGTCAGTCAACATTTTCCCCCTCTTTTGCTATCCACACCTTTTACTGCAGGCAACCCAAGCTTGCTCAAATGTGATTGGGCACTGGACAGGTGGCCAGTGAATCAAATGGTTGACAATCAAACATTGACATCTATGGTCAACTTAAAGTCATGAATACCATGCAGATACAGCGAGAACACAGAATTCACATAGTTTAGACTGAACCTGGATTCATATCACGAACCTTCATGCTGTGAGGCGATAGTGATATTTACTTGTTACAATGCTTATCATAACTTAAACATTTGGACTTGCTTTATCCAAAGACCAGTTGAGTAAGTAATGAGTCGTTGTTTTGGTTTATTTATATCTTAACTGTTGTGCAGACATAGCCACTGAATATTAACACATAGCTCTTAACAAACAACAGTAGTGAGTTTACCCTCCATGTAACCCGTATGCTCTGGGATGTCATCGGTTGGAGGATTACATCCATTGGCGGCCCATCTGGTGCTGTTGATGGAAGATGACAGATAAAGTGTGACTGTCAATATACATCGCCCAGTTAAATACAAAGGAAAATGTACGATAGCCATAAGAACTGTTATGTCTCGTCAATTATGCTAAGTTTATTCATGGTCGTGTTTTAAGTTATGTCATGCCTGTGTTTAGTTCATGTCTAGTCATGTGTGTTTTGAGCACTCGGTGTTAAGTTTAACTTCACTAGTCTCGTCGTGCACTTCCTGTTTTATTTTGGTACTCACCTTTTCCCTCTCGTTTCAGACCCTGACTTCCTCCCTTTGTGTGATTTTCCCGCCTTGGTGATTGTCTTCCCCGCCCCTGATTGGTTTCACCTGTTTTCCCCTTCCTCATGTATAAATAGTCCTCATTTCCCTTTGTCCTGTGCCAGTTCATCTTGTTCTGTCCTTAAGCGTTAAGAGAGTTTCGCTGCCAAGTTTGTGTGCTTATTCATGTTTACGATCTTTTGTTTGATTCATAGTTTTGCTAGTGTTTTGTTTTGTTACTTTTTGATCCTCCGTGAGAGCACCTTTTGTTTATGCACCTTTTTGACATAAAATAAACCTTATTGTTATATTCACTACCTGCTTGAGTCGTGCATTTGAGTCCACCAGCATTCGTGTCTAAGGTTGTGACAAGAACAGAGAATCACTATAACTCACGTGCTTCTTCAGTACTAATCGTGAGCTCTTTGCTGGGAAGGCTGCGGCCAATCTTGTTGTAGGAGTACATGCGGATGCTGTAAACACAGGCCGGGTGCAGCTCTACGATGTTGGCCTGGTTGTTGGTGGGTGAGATGTTCCTGGTTGTGTACATGTGATCCCAGGAGTCTGAAAAGATAAGATTCTGATTTTAAAGACGTATCTTTAAAAAAATCTGCAATGCACGTTTAAATTTAGGACACCTACCTGACTTGTTCTTGTACTCAATGTCATAGCTGGTGATTATGCTGTTTCCATCAAACCTTTGGATCCAGCGCAGGTTCATGCTCCTGTCCTTCACTTCCCTCACTTCCAGCTCCGGGGGATCTGGTGGTTCTGTGTGTGTTGGAGAGAAAGATGAGGTGAGAGCTTTTCCCCACCAGACCTGATCCTACTACAATAGGCTAGTTATGTGATGCAAAAGTTTTAGTGAATAGAGCAAGTCTTATGAGAGATACACGGTACGTGGTGTAGATACCTTGCACAGTGAGCTGGATAAGACCTCGACCCTCTCCATAGGAGTTGATGGCATGACAGGAGAAGAAGACAGAATCTCCTCGTTCGGCTGGGTTCAGCTATGAGCAAGACAAACAGAGGATATAGAAACATCACATCATGAACATCTTCTACAGTAATACAGTCAACACCTAAAAACCTATATCTATATAAGTTAGATCTTACATCTGTTGCCAGTTAGCTCAGATTTTCTATCTAACCATTTCAGAAATCTTTCTGTCCATCTGTATGACTCTGGCTCGCATATAGAGAACCATTCTTCTTAATGGCTTCACACTTATTGTGTGTATTGTTAGAGGAAGTGCAGAGCTGAATTTGGTGAATATGTCTGCCTTGTGTGGCCTTGTTTTGAAATGTTTACACTTTATTCTGGAGAGAATAGAGCAACCAAAATGGAAATGGCCTGAAAAGTGTAAACGGTTTGGGTTGGTAAATATCTTCATTAATGAGTAAATGGGCTTTTCTTATCACTTTGCTCTACGGTGTCTTTTCAGTTTTTAAATTCTGGGTCTGCTCAGAGTTGCAGTCTGAATCTGACCTTTAGGGTGGAGATAACTTCGTCCCCTTTCTTGTTGATGGTGATGGAGTAACGTGGGTTCCTCTCTGCGTCGATGACGGTGTCCCCTCTCTCCCAGCGGATGATGATGGGCTGCTCTCCCCGCGCTGTGCAGTTCAGCTCCTTGGTCTGGCCTTTCCTTGCCATGGTGGTGTTGGGGTGGCTGGTGATCATGGCAGGAACTGAGCAGAATCACAGACACATGTCAGTGTGACGAATTGCATTACGGGGAGTAATGAGACGAGGGAACAGAGATGTGATATTGGAAACGGAGGATATATTACAGATGTATAGACATCTCTGTTTCTGCCATTGGTTCTCCATTTTCATTTCACGCTTCAAGCCCCACTGGCCCTCTCAGGCTACCTCCTCCCTGTATGCCCTCCTCCTCGCTTCTTCCCATACTCCTGCTTCTCTTCTCCTCATTTCCTCAGACATAGATTATTGATTGAAGGGGGGTTCCTGTGGTTTTGTTTTCATCACTAATTCATTAGCCCTTTTCCCCACCAAACATTCAGGGGCACACAGACAGGCAGCCAGAACACATCAATCAATATCAAAGATAGCCATAGTTAAGGGTGTGCTGGACAGACAGGATTTTGTTATGTTCAGTACAGGCCGCACTCGCCTGGGGGCAAAAGTGCATCCTAGAGGAGCTGATCCCACCTTCAAAAAGCTCAGACTTATCTCTGTATCTGCACCACACAAGCCAGGAGATGTGCTTATGAAAGGAAATGTGTTGAAGCCAGAGAGAGAAAGATTGACACTTACTCTTGACAGTGAGGATCATGCTCTTACTGATGTCTGAGCCCACTCCATTGGAGGCCTGACAGAGGTAGTACCCCCGGTCATCCTCGAGAACATGTCGGATGAGCAGAGAGCCGTTCGACATGATCTGGATTCGGCCGGTTAGAGGGACTGGGTGGTACTGCTGAGGGTTTCCCACACCTGCACAGATAAAAACATGTGTCATTGCCTTGATGTGTCCTTGTCCGTGTCATCTCGTTATTGCAATATTGTGTGGATGATGCCTTTACCTTTGGCATGTTTCCACATGACTTTCGGGGGTGGATAACCTTCCACAGAGCAGTTGAGAACTCCAGCTTTACCGTAGATACAGTCCTGGTTGTTGGGCTGCACTGTAAACCGTGGTGGAACTGAGACATAAAACTTAGATTAAAAAACTAAAATAGAAGCTGAGAGGAGAAAGGGTACAAAATGGAAGTCTCTTAAAATAATGTGTATCATTCTAAGCTGCCTCTACACAGTAACTATCACATCTGATCTGACCTAATTCATCATCACTGTGCATTTCTCCACTCAATCAGTCCCTCACCGGTAACAATCAACTGTCTCTCCCAGCTGACGGTGGCAGCGGCATTGCTGGCGATGCAGGTGTAATTTCCGTTGTGCTTCAGTGTCACCTTGGAGATTTGGAGGGAGCTCATGAACTCTTTGGTCTCGATTCCGACGCCAGAGGCGGAGCCTGGCACGATGAGCTGGCCATCTTTGTGCCAGGCGATGCGTATGGGCATGTCCCCAGATGACACCACGCAGGCAATGTACATGAGCTTCCCCACTGAGGTAGAGGGGATATCAAAGGGCTGGATGAGCGGCGGTACTGGTGGGGGAGAGAGGAAGAGTGCAACGAGTCAGTGGAACACAGGAAGCGATAGATGTGGAAGAGTGGCAGCGTGGCCATCTGGAGCGACGCTGCGAGAGGGAGAAAGAGAGAGAAGGTCATTGGCCAGTGGGACCCTCTCCTCTTCTCCCCCTCTTCAACACCCCCCACCCCCCCATCTCCTGTACCCATAATAGCTGCTCTGGTTAGAGTCCAATTGGCAGGAGGAAGTCATTCCGTTGCCATAGTAATGAAGGTTGGGGTGGGGGGTACTACAGCTGAGACATCTGGGGGATTTAATCTAGGCTTCATTATTATTCATCTAATTAAATCAGAGACACACTCACATGCAGGCACATGCACACTCCCTTAAACACCTCTGCAGCTGCCGTGCTACCATCGTGACCCAACTCACAGACGAAACAAAAAACAGACACAAAGTACAACTTGAATCTGCCAAAAATCAACATCTGCATCTGTCAAAAATTATTATCATTAATCTGCAGTCGACAACTTTGAGTGTCACCAGATTGTAGTGACTGGATACTTTGATATCTAGAGATCTTTTTTTTGCATCTGTAAACTGTGCACACGATGGTTATGCTTTTATCAACATGACCAGTGCAAGGCAAAGAACCAGATTTCCTCCTGGAGACATTTTGTATTTTGGCCTATTAAAGCAGGAATACTACGGCCACTCTTGCAGTTTCACATCATGATCTGGATGATTTTTATCCATTTGGATCAATTTTTCTTTACCTTTGACAGTTACGTGGACGGTCTGGTTGATCGACACCTGGGGCTGGATCAGGACGCTGCACAAGTAGGTGCCCTCGTCGGCGCCCTTCTGCACGTCCGTCAGCCTCAGGGTGCCGTTCTCGAACACCACTTGACGGTGATTATCGGGCAGCTGCATGCCGTCCTTCAGCCACTTGATGGAGTAATACGGGTAGCCAATCACGCGGCACGTTATGTAGGTGTTCCTGCCCGCCACTGCGGTGATGTCCCGCATGGGTCTGATTCGAGGTGGACCTGGAGACACAGGGAAGAGAGGGGGGGGTGGAGGGGGGAGGAGACAGAGAGAGAGAGACACAGAGAGTCGGGGAGAGGGGCAGATGAGGCGAGGAAGGTCATGGCAGAGTAAGGGAGCAGCCACGGAGACAGGAGGTGAAGAGATAAAGGTTGAGGGAGAGAGTGATTGGGGCAAGTTGACAGGTGGAGAGGGAGGTTAGTTGTGCTCCCTTTACTCAAATCTGACTGAGGATATTTGTTGATTATTAGCCTAGCCAGATATTCTGTGTATACAAGTAATTGAGCATATATATATAGAGAAAGATAGAAAGATAGATAGATGGATAGATAGATAGATAGAAAGAAAGAAAGAAAGATAGATAGATAGATAGATAGATAGATAGACAGAAAGATAGATAGGTAGATAGATAGATAGGTAGATAGATAGATAGATAGTAGTGGTGTAACAGAACATGGTTCGGAAGGTAGGATTAATTGCAAAGTTTACAGGTAAGTGTCAAATAAAAGTTCACTGTCGCTGTCACTTAAAGTAAGAACGGAAATTTGCAACAGAGCCCAAATGGCAGGTAAACAGAGTGAAATAGAAGTTCTTGTGTGACAGAGCTCACTGCATTGAATGCACACAGCTGCAGCTGAAACTTTGACTGTCTGCGTGGACAGTAAAAACTTTATGGACTATTGTGCCTGTTAGAGGGAGAGACCGAGCGAGCATGAGGCAAATAGCACCTAAAGATCTCATATTATTTTGAGAAGTATACATTTCTTTGGTTCATTATTTATCCAATCCATGACTAAAGAAAGTGATCTGATCCGAACCGAACCATGAGTCATGTGATCTGTTGCACCCCTACTAGATAGATAGATAAATGTGACCTATTCTTCTCACTAAGCCCATGTGTGTTTGTATAGATTCAGGTGTAGAGTGCATTTATATTGAAAAGCAGACAGGCACCTCTTACGTTTATGCGCGCTTGGTACTCGGCGCTACCGGCCGAGTTGCGTGCGACGCAACGATACACTCCCCCATCCCGAATGAGCGGGCTGCTGACGTTGACGTGCGACACGGTCAGGCCGTCCGACAGGGTGTACTGGCTGGTCTTGTAGGTGGAGTCCCGTACCACAGGCTCGTCGTCCAGCGTCCAGGTGATCGACGGGGGCGGGGCTCCTTTGGCCGCGCACATGAGGGAGAAAGGCTCACCGGGGTTCACCACCCGCTCACTGAAGGAAGACACGATACGAGGAGTACCATCTGAGAGGAGAATAGAGAGAATGGACAGATAAAATTGAGATATACATTGTGGATGCAGATGTAGATTATAACACTATCTCTGCTTCATGTCTTAAAAGGCATGACAAATTATTATTATCTAAACTTCCGTGTGACCATCTCTGTCCACATACCCTCTAGCAGAATAATGGAAAAGTCCTGAGCAGTGTGGCCCTTTCGGGAGGCGAAGCACTGGTAGGCCCCGGAGTGGAACTTCTGTGCCGCAGTGATCTGCAGCGTGTCGTTGTGTTGCCCCTGGATGGAGATGTGCTGGTCGGGGACAATGGGCTCTGTATTCCTGTACCAGGTGATGGTGTATTCTGGAGAGCCCTCCACAGTGCAGGTGAAGAACAGGGTGCTGCTGATGCCTGTTTTCAGGTTCTTAGGCGATAAGGTCACACGTAGTGGATCTGAGAGGAGGATGCACAAGGTCAGAAAACAGTTACGTTTACAGCACAATCACAAAAATAGTTCTTATTGACACAATTCATTTATTGTATTATTATATTTTCTGTGTCTATGTTTCACTGTAAACCCGCTCATGTTGTGTTATTATTATACTGCTATACAAATATAATTCTTACATCTACCAAAGGTTTTGTTTTCGTCTGCGTTTGTAAATTTTGGGCCAGGATTCTGGTGCGGATCCGGGGAATCCAGGAATTTTTTAGATTACTATCTTTAACATAGCGAAAATTTTAAATTTAAAATCCATCATAATATTAGTTATTATTAAAAAATAACCTTTCATTTCTACATCTTTTACATGACTCTTGAATAATTAAACTGGGTTTAAAAATGACACAGATTCATACACACAGTATGTTCATGGAGATGGGGAGAAAGAGAGAGTACAATCAGCAGTGGTGACTCAATCAGTTTGACACACTCATTAAAAAAGCAGCTGGAGTTATCGCTTCACATCTCTGTCCACTGTGTGTGTGTGTGTGTGTGTGTGTGTGTGTGTGTGAGAGAGAGAGAGGGAGAGAGAGAGAGAAGGAGTATGTACATGTGTGTGTGCAAATGTCAGTGAGCAATAAGGCAGCTGGTGGTGTGTGCTGGGGGGCAATGCTGTGCCTCCCCCCTCACCCTGTCAGAGTCACAGAGTGTGCTGCCATGATGTGCCCACTGGCAAAGCCTACCGCCTCTCTATTCTCTCCCTCTGTCTCGCCTTCCTCCGCTCTTTGTTTCTTTGTATACATAACACAATGTACATTTGTCTCCGCCACACTTATTATCTTGTTATAACATTATAGATAATGTCATTCCAGCAGTGTCTGGATGTCTGATCGGCCCCTCGGTGACCCCTCGTCTTTATCTCCGTCTTCCTCACCCTCTTTCCCCCTGACGGTGAATGGTGCTGGCAGCTGTGTTATGGATTCAGTCTCAGTGAATTACTGCCCTGTCTCTCTTTTTGAGAGCTGATATGACGGGGCATCATACAGCTCACACACGTTTGTTACAGACACACTCTAGGTGTGACTTATACGTGCGCCTCAAACCAAAAAAAGAAAGACATTTGTGAATGTGTCTGTTCGCCAGGGTGATTCACAGAGGAGACAGAGTGGGAGTCTGTCAGTGTCTTAGTGAATGTGTGTGTGTGTGTGTGTGTGTGTGTGTGTTTGTGTTTGTGTGTGTGTGTTTGTGTTTGTGTGTGTGTGTGTGTGTGTGTGTGAGTATGTGTGTGCTCACACACCTATAACGTGAAGCTGTCCAGACACCTCCTTTGAGCCAAAACTGTTGGTGACCTCGCAGGCATAGCTGCCGCTGTCCTCCTGCCTCAGGTCACTTATGGTCAGCCCTGTCAAACGCCGTGTCCAGCGGGCATCTGAGGGCAACGGGCGACCGTCTTTCAGCCAGCGTACTGTGGGGCTGGGGTAACCTCCTGCGGTGCAGGGGAGCTCGATGCTCTGGCCTGCCTGCACCTCCCCTGCTTGGAAGCTGTCCAGGATGGTGGGCGAGGACTCGTTGGGGTCTAGAGAGAGAAAGATGGGAATAACTTTTTCTCAGGACAAAGCGAACCATAAGAGCAGTGTGAGTGAACTGACAACAGTAACCTGCTTACCCATTACGGAGAGCCTGGCTCCATTGCTTTGCCGCGTCTCGCCGCTGTACTTATGCTTGGTGATGCACCGGTATGTGGAGAGGGCGTCCTCCTTCTGAACATCAGAGATGTAAAGAGCTCCAAAGGAGGTGAGGGAGAACCTGTTCCCTGAGGAAGACACATTCAGTAAAGGTTAATGTCCCCAAAGAAAAGCTCTAGACAAACAGAAACAAACATACACTAACATGATTATTCTGCTACAAAGCTCATTGCAAAACCGTATTGTGTGATGAACAAACAGCAGCCTGAACAGTTGGCACAACCTGCCTGATAACACTGCTTCCAAAAACTTGGCACTCTCTCAAGGCCTTGAGGACACACAGCGGTCACTTACACCACCCGTAGACGGAGCAGAGAAAAGATTTATAGCCCCTTTTAAGCACAATGTAAAACTCTTAAGCACCACACTATCATCGGCAAACTATCTAAACGTTAGTTTTCTCCCTCGCACCTTTCAAGTGCGGTGATCAAGTGCACCGCTGAGTGACGGGTGCCTGCCCACTCTTGGTCATAGCGTTTGTTCTGTGTTTCACATTTCATGCTGCTCAGAGAACCGTGGTTATGTGGTAACAACCTGAAATTTTCATGCTGTGCCCAGAACAACAGAAACAGAGGGAAGACAGATGTTTGTTTGCAGTGAGCACTAGGTATTCTCAATATAACTGTTAATATTGCATATTTTGTCTGGCACACAAGTACACTTGCACACACAACGGTGTGAGGATGTGGTATAGGTCAGGTAAGAACTTATTACATTTTGGTGCAGATCCTGATCTGGGGTGGATCCAGGATTTATTTTTTCACTGTATTTAACCTTGTTGATAATTCATGGATTTTAATTTTAAAATCTGGTATGTTTAGGGGTCTGATATTTATGAGTCTGTGCGATTTGGTGTGGATCCAAATAAAAATCACAATCTAGTGAATTTAAATGTGATTTAATGAAGTCTGGAACGTGTATTAATTGCAAAGTTTACATATCAGAGGGAGTTTCAATGGTTGATTCTTTAAAATAAGAGGTTAGTTTTTTCCAGCTCTTGACTGTCACTTGGTCTGATTCAAGATCCAAGCATCCAGCCGACAGCTGAATGTGCAGCATTCACGTGCACCTGTGTTTATCATCATCAATATTTTACCTACAAGCCTTCGTGTTTGTCGGGGTCTTGCTGAGGGTTGAGTGGGTAAACTGAAGGTAGCAGTTATGGGCCATGCGCGTGTTTGCATGGAGCATACTGTACGACCTAAGAGGAGGCACAGGCTGCAATTTCACAGCAGCCTTTGTTTGCCCCCCAGAATGAAGCCTTACAGGATAATGAGCACTTTAAGACTGCTACTCCCACAACACCGACGACTCGCCTGTCACAACACTCTGACATAGGCAGAGAGAGAGGGGGGAGTGAGAGAGAGTCAGCTGGATCTGTCACAGCCACACTTTCTGTCTTCAGCAGCGGGCTGAATTTATCCCGTCCACAGCCACTGAAACAATGCAGATTACACAATATCACATTATCTCCCTCGCTATCTGTCCGGCTTAACTCTGTTGTTATAGTCGACTCGCTCTTCATCTCTTTGTGTTGAACCCTCTGTCTCACCCTTTTCCCTCTGTTTCTCTCCCAGCCTCTTGCTCTCGGTCTCTGAGTGGCAAAGTGGCAGACAGAGTAAAATATTAATTACTAAATCACTGTGCTCCCTCAGCTTTTATTCATGCTGACTTGACTAGATAACAAGAAACAGAGCCAATGTGCATCGCACCCGCTCAGACACACGCACACACACGTACACACACACAGAGCTGCAGCAAAACATGCAGACATGCATGCAGGAACTATGAATTGCAAAATGGTTGGCAGTTGCTGTTACATAATTTCCCCTCCCCCATATAATAATACAGGTATAACATTTTAACAGTAACCTGTAATTTGCCCACAGCTTTAACTAAATAATATATATATATATTTAAGAGTATGTCTAAAAAATGTGTCTTTCTTAAAAAATGAATAGCAACTAAAACCACCATTATTTTTTGCATAACACTGATTAAAACAAAGTGACCATTAAATAACAAATGGGATTCTCCAATAGGATCAGCAGGAACTGTTTTTATGGTTAAAGTGTTTTTTTATAATCAACTGTAAGTGGCTCTTTCAGCCAGGAGGGAAAGCTATGAAAGAGGATGTGTTGCCTAGAGGATGGCAACATTGTTGGATTTTGTATGAGTTTGGTCAGAGTCTCAACGAAGCGCTTTCAAGGAAAAAATTGTGCTAAATTGTTTGTGATTCCTGGCTGCAGAAGGGGTCCTGAGGGGGAAATACTTTAAACTGTTTTTGTACGTGCAGGATCAGGACAATGATGTGGATATGTGAAAAGACAAATGTAAAACTGAAATCATCAAAAGTTATTTCTTAAACGAATATGTTAAACATACAATTAAAAAAAACATATCTGAATATTTAAAAGTGACATTTTCATTTGACCATTTTTCATATCAATAAAAATATTTACAATTTCACCCTTATTTCATTTTCATGTCTTTTTATTTTAATAACAAAACCTTTTTGGATTAAGGCCATAATAAAATTGAATTTACGTTCAGGAGTGCATGCACAATAACACACACAGACGCAGATTCAGTTAAAGTTAAGAAAAGTCACCTGTTTGCAAGGCACTTAACTCCACCTGCCTTACACTGGGCACTGCAACGCTCTGTGACGTGGAAAACGAGGCATTGCTCAAACTAATCGTGCTGTTTGTCCTCAGCAAACCTCTCTTGTGTAATACAGGTTTTCATTCATTTTATTTTTTGTAATCCAACAAAATGCCTGCGGCCTCGCAGTCACACAGCAGACCAGACCTACTGCTCCGACAAATTCCAAAGAAGGGGAAAATAATGGAAGTGTAAATGTGCGAGAAAGAGAATAGGAAAAACAAAAGCTTGACAGAGTCTATAAATAGGATATATACTGTAGCCTCTGTGCGTACGCGTGTGTGAGTTAGTAGCAGCCTCATTTTCTCACATGCAAATGAAGGCGTCGGCGCAAAGATAACGAGGCCCATATTTCCACCTCCTCAGTGGGGCCATTATTTATTGATGTTCTGCATCTTTCTCCCTCCCTCCCACTCTCACGCTTTCTTCATCCTCTCCCTGTTGCTAGGGTCTTCTCACTGCCATCCTGTTACCAATTCAGCATACTTTCAGCAATTATTAAAGTGCGGCTTGTTTACAATCATCAAGGATGCAACAATGAAATGAAAACCTCTGTGTCGCTTGACTGGGGAAAAAAAACCATTAAGGTGAATTGGTGAAAAAAAGAGCGAGTATTAGTATGAATAGCTAAAAATAGCCCTCCAGATGCTGCGCATAGGTTTTGTGTAATAATCACAAACACACACACAATATAACACACTGTCTTTTACTTCCTGAGCTTCTGTCTGGAGTTTGGTCCAGTTCTGCAGCTCAGAATAAAGATAACAGGCTTTTAAAATCCTCTTTACTCCTGTTCATTATCAGTTGTATGCACAGTTTGGAAACTAACTTGGGCTTCTCTATCCTGATTTAGCTCTTGGAAGAGAATCTGGCCTACATGCTTTACAGGGGCAAATCTCCTCACTATCCAGACTATAGTCAATTTTAGGACAGAACAGTTTTTCCTCTATTATGCCTCTTTAACTCCAGATTTAGTGGGTATACATAGGTATTTTAAACGTGGGGTCAACCTGACAAAAAAAGGGGTTATTGATTTCTTTACATTGTCAGTAGAGGAGTTTGCCTGTGTGTTTTTCCCCTGTTGCATCATGGTCAATGTCACAAATGAACCGTAAACCTCTCTCCTTGCTGTCAGACGTTCACCCAGGTTCACCATGTTTCCATCACTTACGATCAGAGCCAGAGTTGATGAAAACCTACGTGCCCTGCTGAGTCATGTGATGCGGGACTGAATGCGGAATGGGATCCATTCCCATTGCAGACAAAAGCCAGATGTTTTTGGTTAGGAGTGTTTTGATCAGTGCAAAAGGGGCTTTAGCAAGAATTATCTTTTGACACTAACCTGTCCAAAATTCATCCACCTCCTGTGGATAAAACAAAACAGGGAGTGCAGGAACATGCAGCACTCATACCTCTGAGTAAAAAACACTGCTGTTCCTATGGGAGTTCCCAGTATGGACATAAATAATCAGTTTGGAAAAGGCTAATGAGCAGCTCACATCCTTTTCCTTCTGGCAGATCACTAAAGTACAATCTGATCCCTGGAGTCTTTATCTTGCCCAACACCGCTGATGGTCAAAGGCAGTGGTTTCTCGCCTTGAAGGGGGTTTCCCAGTTAAACCGTTAGTGTATTCTCACCGTTCATTATGACGACCGTAAGCTAACCCAAGGAGAAAATGTGTCAAAGCAGTCGAGGGTCAGAGGTTTCACTCCTCCACAAACTGACAAGAGTGATAGACGCCTACAGCCCAACGTGTTTATCCATCACAGACATGAGGTCTGGAGTTTGACTCTTAAAAACGTACGCATCACTGGTATCAACACATTAAGTGAAGCTTTATTTTGAAAAATACCCCTCAGTTAATTTTTTACACATCCAACCATTCAAACTCACATCCACACTTACAGTCAGTTTGAGTCTCCAGTTAACCTCACCCAATCTGCATATAGGACTGTTGGAGGAAGCTGTTGTAGCCAGAGAACAGCTCCACACCACCGCCTCCTAAACACTGTTAATCAAATACAGTCTTTGTAAAATTTTAAACAAACATCTCTGTTTTAGGGGCGGCACAGTGGTACAGTGGTCCATAGACACGCAGACTGGAGGATGTTGGAAACTAAATTGACTGTAGGTATGAATGTGAGCGTAAAAGGATGTTCCTCTGTGTATGTCTGCCCTGGGCCACCCGTTCAGGGATAAACCCGCCTCTTGTCCATTGTCGAGATTGACTCCAGCCCCCTCGGGATGCTCAATGGATGGATCCATGTTTTAAACAATTCGAGTCTTGTAAACTGACTTATTTTCTCAAATTAATCATTGATATTTATAAGATGTAAGAAATAGATCAAAATTGCTTTGGAAATGTCACTGAAATTATCAAAGATGACTATTTCATCAATGTTTTTCATGAGAACATT